GTTCACATTTTAAGCCGCATAACATTCTGTGGGTTTCCGACGGCCGATGAAAGGTTGGCCCTCTTAGGATGTCCTAGAGGGAGCAATGCATACCGAGCCGTCTCTCACTAGAAGCAAAACCAGAGCGCATTGCATAGACAAGCAATTGTTGCAGGGGAAAACGGGAGCTTCAGCTGTCTTCTGCACAGCAAACAGGCCGCAACTTTCTCTTGAGATTTATGCGTATGGCAAGAGCTCTGCGATATACAGGACTTACCGATATATAGGGCTTACCCAGAACTGGGAGTACAAACCCTGCTGTTTGCGAAAGTAACAAGCCCCATGCGTAGGTAAAACCCGGTTACGCTTACAGTGTTCGCAAATGATAGAGACTCCAGTAAAAGTTGATTCGTAATTGGCCTAGATTCGTACTTTGTCACTGCGGGGACAGGGCCGTCCTGTTCTGCCGCGCATCATCATCTGGAACCAACCTCCTTTTACACTGATGGAACTGCCACTTTCCAGAACTAAAAACGCCTGTGTGCGTGACGGCTGCCCAGACAGACGTGAAAAAATGCACAAAATCAGAATCCCGTGTGGAGTGTTGCCAAGGGAGCCGGTTGTTGCATTTTGCTACGCGCCCGCTCATCCTGTCCCGGAACCACATTCTACTGCATTTAGAAGTCATTTACGCTCTTTAAATGATGCCTACGTTCAAGTAGAGATCCCTGCTGTTTCAGTGGTGAACTGCCGGGAGAGCGCATACTCCTAGTGCTTCACCCGTGAGGGGGCGAGGAGAAAGTAGCACTGTTCCTCTCCCTTTCATATACACAAGCCTGGGATATCCTTAGTGTACGATCCTAGTGTAGAAACCGTGGAAACAACTCGGTTCACTGGGCATCGCCTTCAGTCTGCACGCCGCATGCTCGCTCGGGCCCGACGAATAGGGTCACTTTCGCCCGCAGTCGCAGTAAAGGAGACCAGAAAGCCCACCCAAAGGCAATGTTTTTCTTTTAAATTTTGCATACCAGGGTGAAAATCAATCTCGCTCCGCGGTGTGGTTTTCGAGGGGGAACTTTGGCCGCGCCTTGGGAGATGGGCCTTGCGTGATCAGGAACGGCTAGCTCCCCCACTGACTGCGAGAGAAAAGCAGAAAGATAAGGTTTTCCGAGCAACTCAGGCTTTCTCAGGGCTGTGTGCTGCCTTCTCTGGAGACAGTGGGAGCTTGGAATGCAGTGGTTCTAAGTATCCCGAATGGCCTGCTCTTCAGCAGGACAGAGTACGTTTCATTTGATTACGTCCAGTCATACTCCCCTCATTATACTTAGCCATACTCCAAACACCTCGGAATTTGTCACCGGAAACGGTGACTTGCCTAGCGTGGCTAGAAGGATGCTCGGCTTCCCAGAACTAGAGGTGGAGAAAATTAGCTCGAGCACGTACGGATGGAAACGCATCCTCGTAGCCCTGAACGGTGAATTCTCCGAGCCAAAGCAGCTCAAACTGCCACCCCAAACGACGTTTACGACATTTCTGGAGCGAAGCTCCGCATTACACGAGTTAGGTAGGTTCGGAACAGACCTTGCAATGCTGATATTTTTTTGTCACTTGCTAAGTGAACGGCGTTGCATTCAGTTGCTTGCCAGAGTGCCATTTCACCCAGAAAATTTCAGAGAAGCGCAAGTAGCAGGCTCATGCGAATGCAGCGGAGCCTGCAAAGCGAGCGTTTTCCGACAATGGAGAGGAGATATTTGATATGGATCAAATCCTGGATGATGACCTCGTGTACATTTCAGCAGGTCCAGGGTTCATCGTTGGGAATTACGGCAGCACTGGCGGAGGTAAGCGAAGGCAGGGACACAATGTACGAGTTCTGCAAGGGGAGCCAATTAACGGAAAAGGAAGCGCTCAAATGCACGGTGTCTTCGAAACGTTACCCTCCCTGCGCAGCAGCGTTTCCATGCATATGCTGCCACTGGCACGCAACTATATCTCTTATGCCAGCTTGCAGACGCCACTTGGATGGGTTTTCTGAGTCTCAGCTGTCGGGGGATATATTCTAAAGGACGTTATAGGTAGCGGTGGATTTGGCAAGGTTTACAAAGGCATTCATCCAGAAACCGGTGAACAGCGAGCTTTTCCATTTGAAGCGGTTTGGACAGTGACACAGAATTTGTTGACTACGTAGAAGGAAAGCGAGATGTCGGCACTTCAAATTACATTGGGCGATAAAACATTGCAATGCCCTGAGTTGTTGATCCAGAACCAGCACCCCACGATAATCGCTAGCTCACCGACAGATTCACTCTATGTGGGACGACCTGCTGCTGTACAGGAGAGCTAGTTGCAGTGAAGTTCATCAACAAACAGTCCTTTAAGGAAATTGATGATGCGGACAGAGTCTTCGTTGAAATCCAGGCGAGGCAGATTCTGTGCTCTCTTCTCTGCATATCCGGTCTAACCGGCCTACGAATTCTCTTTTTGAAGTTGCCACAGATTATGCACTGCCCATGAACCAAATAATGCGTCCGTACGAGCAGAAGGTCCGGTGAACTAGCATCTGAGTTTTCTCATTTTTTCAAAAGTGGACTCCTCTCAGTCGTGGTCTCAGCGTGGGTCGGTTGTCGGGCAGGCACTGCGAGACCTGTCACACAAGCATGTAATCAAGATGTTGGACGTCGTGGCGCATCCTAAATTCGTGTGTTTTGTTATGGAGTTTGCAAGCCAAGGCGACTTGCGCGGTCTCCTACACTCCGAGGGCCGCCTCTCCGAAGACCGTGCGAAGCACTTTGAAATAGCAGTTCCTTCGTACAAAGGCTAGCAGTTTAAGAGTCACAGCCCCTTCCACCCAAAAACTCAGAGCGAAGCATTCACTGGCGTAGCTGCTATTCTGCTAGTGGTTTCGTCCAATGATGCAGGAGCAAGATCGTTTTTCGAACAAGTGCTCAAGGGCGTGCATTACTGCCACTCCAAGAACATCGTCCACAGGCGAGCCGGGCACTGAACTAACACCTACTACTCAGTGCAAGGAAAAAATATTATTCGAGGTTTGTTAGGGCCTATTGAGAGTATATGGGTGAAATAGATGTTTCGAAGCTGCCTGATCCAGTACCGTATTGGTTGATGAAGGACCGGGGGAAAAAGCGTGCTAGAGGTACGGGTGGAACGAGCTGCTATCCTTGTCCTCATTCCGTTGGCACCACAGAGATTTGAAGTTGGAAAACATTCTACTAGATGATTGCTGCCGCTGCAAAATTGCGGACTTCGGACTATCGCACTTTGTAGTCGGCAACACGGGTATGAAAACGGAAGCGGGGACGCTGGCGTATTTGGCACCTGAAGTTTGGAGTCAAACCTCACAGTTTTCAAGCCCATTCCAGCTGGACGTTTGGGCCCTTGGTTAGTTCTGCACTCCAGCTGAAAGAGTGAATCTCTCGGTTTGTTACACTCCCATACTGCTTGTTGAATCGTCCAGGCGACGGTGGACCGATGGAAGAGACGCGTAATGCTGCAACGCTTTTGCTCTCATTCTGCAGGCGTAATTCTTTACGCTCTGACCCAAGGAAAGCTACCATTTGCTCGGGCCGACAAAGCAGTCGTTGATCGGCTGTATAAAGTAAACTTCAACTCAGGCACACAAACCATCGAGACACGAAGCAGCGCAAATCCGTCAGCATAATTTCGTGTCACCTACCTTGTATTTGAAAAACCACTGCGGTGCTTCTCAGCAAAATCTGACATTCGACGGCACCCCGACAGCGGAACTGAAGCGACTAATCCTGGGAATGCTTCACCCAGATCCACGAAAAAGGCTTAACCTCAGCGACGTTATGAATGCGCCTTGGATTAAGGCGGGCAGACCATGGCATCTGAAAGAACTGCCTGAACAACCTGAACAACGGCCGATAAGAGCACCGAACGTTGCTGTCCAGCCAAATGGAATGCAAGGTAAGCAGCGCCATGCCGGTTTCACGGCATATTTCAGCGAAACGGAGATGAGACACAATTTACGCACAGGTTTCCGTTATTTTGGAAGTATTGATATAAATATCCCCGCCTTGGCGTTTTGAATGCATCTACCTTGCCAGCATCATACTGAACGTTAAAACAGAGGATGACAGCAAAAATGTCTGTGCACTGCGTTCGCTTTCTACTGTTGCATATGAGCAGACAACCGCGGGGAAGCTGATTCAATTTCAGCTCAAGACGGAGCTGTGTCGAGCACCCATAGAACAGATGTGACTGCAAAAAGGCACCCGCCAACTTCTGGAGTTGATGCAAATGAGAAGAAGAAAGAGCCCGGCGGCAGTAAGCCCACTGCTGTGCAGAAGGCGCAGCCACGCCAACCCCGCCCATGAGGGAACAGGCGAAGAAAAATGCGCAAAGGAAGCTTTTCCTGTTTCGAATACTGCCAGTAAAGTATGGAACGTGAGAAAGCTCTCCGTTGCTGTAATCCCAGCTAAGCCTCGTGGTCATAGACTGTGATCATTCAACGGTGCTATACCATATGAAACGTCTCAGCGCCTCCAGGTAGAGGACTGCCTGACGGCCTTCACACGAATAAGACAGTGATTGCATCCACTGAGTCGGGAACACGCCATGTCGCCAGCAGAGATGTGTGCGATTGCATCTCCTATATTCCAGAGAGTACAACATGCCTATACGTGGTTTTTCTGCCCCTCAGCTTATTGGCGGCCAGCCTTCCTATCTCTGCATTAGAGCTGAGTACCAGCGCTTGATGTAACAGCTTCCAGTCAGTGTGCACGCCTAAAATCCTGTTTGCATCCTACAACAACAGGCAACAGATGGGCAATTTCTGAGGTAAACGTAAAAATAGTGCAGGATAGTAGCAAGGTGCTGGAGTGTCTACACATACAAGAGGTAGGAACTGCCAGGCGTCAAACCCAAATTACAAACAATCATAATTAATGTGCATATATCGCCAGCTATCATTGGCCAGAAGTCAGTTGTTTGTTTGGCGATTTGTGGGAAAAAGCTTCTTGGGAAGCTGACCTACCGAACTAAGCCTTGGGAGGAGTTTTAAAATCACGCTGTATTCCAAAACAAATGGCACACTTGGATGCCATCGTATTCAACAGCCGAATTCATTACTATCTTGGGCGCTATTACCGCGGCACCTAGAACTGTTTTGCTAACAGTCGCAGCATTTTTGACACATAGGAGCGCAACACATGAAATCGGAACACAACACCCTTGCTGGCTATCAAATTGCCTCCCTAGTCCTAATTTCAGTGTTGTGTTGCCTTTAGAACATTTCGCTTGGGTTGGCTGATGGTGAGGGGATTCGTGGAATTGCGCCATGCAACAACAGGTCACCTAAGCTTGCGCCCATTGAAAACGGAAAAATCACTGCTAATGAAAAACAGTACACGAATGACTTTTCCGAAAAGCAAACATTTGTGGATAGCATCTAAGTGAAACATCGGGGTTTGCAGAAGGCCCCAAATCTCATTGCACAACAACTGCAGTTATATGATTCCTTACTGTCAAACTCTTGCCTTCTGAACTACTCAAAGCCTCTGGAAAACAACAGTAGCGAGGCGTGCATCTGCGTGTACGACGTTGCGGCTTTGCATGCACCACCGAGGAGCAGTCACTAGCCGTAGGGTTTCTCAGTGTTATGTGTGTTCTGTTGGAGGCAGTCCTAAGACAGAAATGGCTGAGGCAGATGGTATGCTGAGGAACTACGCCGCCTGTATCAACTTCCCAAATTGCGGAAGGCGCGGTTCTGCCTTCAAAATATCTGCCTCAGCAGTGAATTTGAAAATAGTTAGTATGCAACACAAACATAAGACTAGTTTATCCGGCAACAGGCAAGAAAGGCAAGTTGACAGACGGAACACCAGCTCGGGTTCAGAATTTGCGCTTTGTGCCAGCCGGCAGCGGTCTTCCACCCTGCTCCAGGAGTTGAAACCGGGCCTCACTGAGCCGGTGATTTATGGTTGTTATCCACCACCTCGAATCTGCGGAGCTTAGCTTCGTCTAACGCTTAGGTCCCGACGCATGAAGTTTAGACGGGTTTTCTATGCTGCTCAATCCGAAGGGGCTGGCCGTTAAAAAGTCCGGTGGAATTGGTGCCCCGGGCTGGTCTGAAGANTGCTGCTCAATCCGAAGGGGCTGGCCGTTAAAAAGTCCGGTGGAATTGGTGCCCCGGGCTGGTCTGAAGAGGAGAAATGCGATTGGTAGTGCCCCGATTTGTCGCGCACTGGGCATCCTCAATTCAAGCAAAATGTGGTGACTGAATGCGTCTTACAAAATCATGGGTGCCCCCGGTAGGTAAAGTACACAAAAAGTCCATCTTAGAGCCTCTACATGGATAATCCGTCTTGGTTAGGGCATTATTACCGTGAAGCGCCCCGAGGTGACACTGCGATGTGGTTGCTGGGCGCCCTCCATTAATTGCCCATTCGATGATAGCTGCCTGGTCTCGAAGGTAGATATGATGTAAACTGGTTTTCTATGCATACTAGTTTTCGGCGCTTGTGGAAATCTTGCGTTTTGATATCATTGACGCTCGTCGACAATCCCCTCTGCGACCTGGCACCAGAAGTTGCGGTGTCTAGGGAGGGTTTATTGCAAGGGCACGCCAAACAGAGCGTTGTATATGCAGACAGCACTATTTTTGGAAAGCACAGTCTTATGAGGTGCGCGTTTCATTGACTCCCAAGTCAGCACCCTGGTTGACCGCCCCACATCCGGGGAAAAGTGACCCTGCGTAAAGAAGAAAACGAGCCTTTATGAGAAAATGCAACTACAACGAATCATCAGCCTGTAAGTGGAGGAGGTTTAGAGGCTCATCAATATCCTTGGCTTCAAGCATCAACCTCTCGAACGAGCACCCCTGCCGGCTCCTCAGCCAGCCTCCACCAATGGCGGGGCCGGTCCATAGGGGCGTATTGGCTAAATGATCTCCCAGGGAAGCTAGAGCTACGCGTTAATTTTTATCTCAGCTCTCTTTCTGCCTTTTTTCTTGGCATTATGATATGTTTTGATACCTCGCTTCCGGTGTGCTCCACTGGTGCGTCTCCCGCCGTCCCGCAGGTTCAAGCGTTTTAATGAAAATACGCAATTGGAATGGCGTTGTTACTCCTTAATTCTTTTTGCGTACTTTCCCCTAACTTAATGCAAGCATTCTGTTAGAAGTTTCATTCTTTATAAGCCCCTTTCGCCATAGTGGTCCCCCAGCAAAGTCGTTTGCAATCGCCTACCCTGCTAGTGGAAGCATCNAAGCCCCTTTCGCCATAGTGGTCCCCCAGCAAAGTCGTTTGCAATCGCCTACCCTGCTAGTGGAAGCATCCTGGCTCTTCCAGCCTAGCTGGTGCCAGTGATTCGTCTACTTTGTTGTTGTAAACTCAAATAGAGTCGCCAATCCTGTCATGAAGAGTGGGTAGAGATGAGGGCCTCGGTGCTGTTGGCGCTGTCCCAGGTTGTCTTGGGGGCGCTTGCAGCTTCACAGGCCGAACCAGACGCGACGACTCCAAAACTGCATGCTGGCCTTAAGGAGACTGACGGTAACTGTCGCACTGCATACGCATACACACACACAGACGCACACATACACACTCAGGCCAGCACAAGGCTATTTTTCTTGAGACTGAAATACTGTGCATGCAGCACGGAAGAGCTTGTCTTTGGTCGAAGATGCAACGTAGTCAGTAAAAGAAGTAAATTGAATGCTCTCTTACATACTTCTAGTGATCGGATCAAAATGTGTGTGCAGTCCTTGCCAGCTCCACAGTGGAGGTGCAATCTCGGGCCCTAGTGGTCAGTCCTGGAGAAACTTTCGACGTCACCGCACGCATCGATGAAAACCTCTCAAACGGCCCACAACAGCCTCCTGTACTGTTGGGACTCCAGTTTGTGCCAGTCCTTGACGTCGATGCTGGGAGGAAGTTCACAGGATCTTCTGAATTATTATGGCAGCCGTTGGAGGGAGACACGGCCAACTGGTCGTTGAAGCTACTTGATGCCGGGAACTACAGGGCAGTTGTGTTTGCTCAAATCCCATGCGGAGTTCACGAGCCGAACGCCGAGTTGTCGGAGGTTCGAAGCTGCCCCGAGCGAATGCCCCTGAGACAGAAGTCTGACTTCAGAATTACGGTGTCCCATATATCTGCCCGATTAGCACTCTCGTGGGACCAGCCACAGACAATAGAAGGTCTTTCCGTTATAGAAACTGCACCGCAGGGAGCGCTGCAAGTATCGGCTTTGGCTCTTGACGGGTCTTTTGCGCTCCACAACTTCAAGGGTATTGTGCAACTGGTCGCGGTTGATATAAATGGCGACAGGAGNGGTCTTTTGCGCTCCACAACTTCAAGGGTATTGTGCAACTGGTCGCGGTTGATATAAATGGCGACAGGAGCTATCCTCTGCCAGTCATTGGAGGCCAAACGACTGCACCCCTAGTCAACGGAGTAGCTACGTTTTCCCAGCTCCAGTTTCTTCAGGCAGGAACGTACAAGCTCATTGCTACTGCTGAAGGTGCACAAGCTGCAGAAAGCGCTCCCGTAGTAATCACTCCTCCAGCTTCTCGGATCATCAGGTGAGTCGCGTGTACAGGTCTTGCTATACCCGCTAAGGCCGTCCATATGTAGTAGCGCACTTCACTATATGCTTGGTGAGCTCAAAATAAGGTGGCTGGTGGGGAATATGTTCTTCAAGGTGACTCATTAAGGGGCTCTTGAAATATATCGGGCGAGTGCAGGAGTGGCAAG